AACGATGTCAACTTTTTGCCCAAGACGCGATCGATGCTGGACCGCTTTCTTACCAACGAGCTTAGCGAACCATTTGCGCAATTCCTGTGCGATTTTTTTAAACCAAGCCTGCCTACGGATGCCAAGATGCTTAAGCTACTCATCGAGACCGGCATCAACAACGCCGACACCCAAAACTCATCCGAGTCTTCGCTTATGTCGCCGGAACTGTCAGAGAAGTCTCAGAACATTGACTTTGAGCTGGCCGATCTGCTGTTGTCCAGTGAGAAGAGTTGCCTTCAGGAGACGCAGCGCACGATGAGCCCCTCGGAGCTGAGTGAGCCACCGCATGAAAGCCAAGATGAGAACGCTTCGAGCACGTTGCATCAGCTGTCCGATTCGCATCACATTGAGCTGCACAAGGGCAAGGCCCTAATCCATATTCTCGCAAATGATGGCAATCATCATCTGCTGGAGCGAGCTCTCAATGCCTGCAAGAGCCCCATTGACCTAGAGATTGAGGACTATAACGGGCAAACAGCTCTCAATATAGCCTCCAGGAATGGTCATCTGGAGGTAGTCAAGCTGCTGCTGAGCTTCTCGCAGCCCTGTAACGATGGTACTGGACGCATGAAGCGAGTGGATGTCAACCATGCGGATCGCGATGGTTGGACACCACTGCGCTCCGCATCGTGGGGCGGGCACAGCGAGGTGGTAAGGCTGCTCATAGCACAACCCGCCTGCAAGATCGATCTGGCCGACAAAGAGGGACGCACTGCACTGCGAGCAGCAGCCTGGAGCGGCCACGAGGATATCTTGAAACTGTTGATTGAGTCTGGCGCGGATGTCAATTCTGTGGATCGCCAGGGCCGCACATCGCTGATTGCCGCCTCATACATGGGTCACTATGATATTGTCGAAATTCTACTGGAGAATGGCGCCAATGTCAACCATCTGGATCTGGATGGACGTAGTGCGCTGTGTGTAGCTGCCTTATGCGGATCCTCCGGCTACAGCAAAGTCATTTCCACGCTGCTCGATCATGGCGCTAACACGGATCAGCTGGACAACGATGGCATGTCGCCGCTGCTGGTCAGTTCGTTTGAGGGCAACGCCGAGGTCTGTGAGCTTTTGCTCGAGAATGCTGCCGACCCGGATCTGGCAGACTTCATGGGTCGTACACCACTGTGGGCCGCCTGCACGGCGGGTCATGCAACTGTGGTGCGGCTGTTGCTTTTCTGGGGTTGCGGCATTGATTGCATGGACTCTGAGGGTCGCACAGTGCTGAGCATAGCGGCTGCCCAAGGCAATGTAGAAACAGTGCGTCAATTGTTGGATCGCGGGCTAGATGAAACCCATCGCGACAATGCCGGCTGGACGCCATTGCATTACGCTGCCTTTGAAGGCTTCCATGAGGTGTGTCTGCAGCTGTTGGACTCGGGCGCCAAGATTGATGAGTGCGACAATGAGGGAAAGACTGCACTGCATTTGGCCGCACAAGAGGGGCGTCTTCGTTGCGTGCAGACCCTGCTGGACATACATTCCAGTTTTGTGGACCAAAAGGCCCATGATGGTAAGACCGCTTTCCGTCTGGCCTGCCTGGAGGGCCATATGGATACGGTCGAGTATCTGTTGAAGTTCTGCTGCGATGTCAACTCCAAAGATGCCGATTCACGCACCACACTTTACATCTTGGCATTGGAGAATAAGCTCGATACTGTCAAATACCTGCTGGACATGACCAATGTGGATGTTAATATACCCGACAGCGAGGGGCGTACTGCGTTGCATGTGGCCGCCTGGCAGGGTCATGCTGACATGGTGAAGACACTGATCGAGGCTGGCGCCGATGTCAACTCAATGGACCTGGAAGCACGAACACCGCTCCACTCGTGCGCCTGGCAGGGCAATCATGATGTTATGAATATACTGCTCTACTATGGCGCCTTGGCTGATCATGCCTGCAAACAGGGCGCCACAGCGTTGGGCATTTCCGCTCAGGAAGGTCATGAGAAGTGTGTCATCGCGTTGCTGCAGTATGGCGCTAATCCCTACAAGTCGGATCACTGTGGACGCACGCCCATTAAGCTGGCGGCCAAGTCTAGTCGCAGCAGCATACTCAAGATCTTTGAAAGCTATACCAAAAGTAAGAAAAACAACAGACGTAGAAGTATATTGCTTTGTTACTAAATCCCTTATCCTCCATTTAGATGAAGCTAGTAATCCCAATGAAGCAAAATTCCATGCCAGCATGCTGCGCTCTCCGGACCAGCCGCCGGCGCTGCCCTTGCACCAAAACCTAGCTCCGTACCCAGCACATGCATCAGCTTCCTCGGTTTGCTCGGCGGCCACCACTGCAACGGTGCACAATGGCAGCAACTTGCAGGCTCTGAATGCCTCCAGTTCCACGCACAGCTCGAACAACTTCTATCAGAATACAATGCAATCGGATACGAGCAGCTTGCATAAGCGCAAGAGCGTCATCTCTAGTCAATCCACGGGCAGCAGCAACGATGTGAGTTTCACTATTATACATCAAAGAAATTAAAATTTCTTACTTTATATATTTTCATATTTGTAGCAGGCGCCGCTCACCTTCACTCAGCAATTGCAGCGACAAAGCAAACTCAGCTCTCGCAATCTGATGGTCAACTCAAAGCATGCCTCAAGCTCTGGCGCAGCGGCTCACAAATCGAACATGAATGGTGTTGCAGGCGCGCATCAGCGCCACTCCCAGGTGCTACCTGATCTCAACGAGCATCAGCTGGGTAAGCTATTATTCAATTTCATAATAAGTGCAACTAATTATTGTTCACACTTTACAGCAAGCAACATGACAAACGAAGCAGATCTGTATGACATGGAATGCATGTCACCTTTGTATGCCACGCCTCCACATTCGCCCAGTAGCGAGCTGAGCTCACCAGGCCAGCTGCCAGCATTGAATGCCTTTGTGGATGATGATCGTGCTGGTCCCAGTGGTGGCAGCTCGAAGCCCGGCTTGCCCGATAATCATTTTGCCCGGGATACTCATATGCGCATAATCTTGGGCAACCTCAAGGAGAATCAGGCCAGCTCATCGAGGTGAGCTCTTACTGCAGATAACTTTGCCTAAGGTCTTGTTCTAATTGTTTCATATTTCTCATTAAACAGCAAGAGCAAGCGCAGCGGCGTCTCAAGCAATCCAGCAATGCGACTCATTCGCAGTCGCTTCGATTCGGCTGCCCAACTCATCAGGCGCACCAATAACATGCTCTCCTCCAGCAGCAACCAGGGCTCGTCCAGCATTGGTGTCAAGTCGGGAACCTTTCAATGGCGCAAGGAGAGTCAAATGTAAACCCAGTTGCGCCGACATAGACATACACTTGCATACTCAATTAGACAGTAGCCCGTTCTTGACTTCATTGAGTTTATACTTTATATAAAAAAGTATTTGTTTTTTTGTGATAGTTTCAATTTTAGTATACACACGTATTATGTATTCTTATTTCGATAATTATAAATACGCCTAGACCTATTGCAAGATTGTAGTTTAAGGCACGCGCAAAGTATTAAGCTGTGTAGATTCATCAACGATTATAAAGTATTTCCCAACATTTTGGCACGCTATCGTAGACAACTCCTAAAAAGTAGCATCTAAATTAAACATATTAAATACAATTACTTTGAACTTTGGCATGCCGAAGATTAAATACCCTTGCAGATGCACAACCCTGTTATAGATCATTGAAAATGTCCGTTTGTAAAACACAGAACCGATCTCAAATCACTCTAAGTATCGTCGTGATATAGAGAAATAAATATTACTAGATGAGATCTTTGCTATCTGCTCGAATATTTTATAGATTTCTATATCAATTTTATATTTTCTGCAAAGGTATTACAAAAGAAAAACAAAAGAGAAGAAATGAAAGAGAGAAAGTAACAATCAAATACACACAAGTATACAACCGTTTCTTATTATAAAAGCAAATTCGTTTAAATGTCAATGGGATATGCTATGCCGAAAAAAACAAAATATTTATAATTTAGATTTTTATTGGTCGTGCGACCAGGCAAAATGTGAACGCCATAATATATAAACCTAAACGATATTCGAAATATGGCAAAATAATATAATTTAATTTATAACTAGCATTAAAACAATTGTGGCATATGCAACTGAGCTACTAATGATCGTATAATAATGCTATTATGTCAATTTTATAATCATTTTTTAAGCTTACCACCTTTTCTATGGCATGTTTCTTCAAACACAAGTTGTATTTTATCGTCCCAAAAACACAAAAAATGTGACCCGTTCCTGTACTTATTAAAAAAAAAACACACACACACACATACACGTACTCATATATTAATAACAGAAACCTATAAGACCTGTAGACTTAATACACTGATATATTAACCAAGTTTCAGATGGAATATTTTCCGAAACTCTATCTCTCACTGCAAAGCAGCAAAACATACGCAGACACAGACAACTATACAACGTACTTGGCAAAATCCAAAAAAAGTATATAAACAGCGAACTGTTGATTAAACAGAAACATTATAACGTAATTTATTGTTATATACATTAAAGTATATATATATAATGTATACATATATTTATTTGACGACATATTTACAAGTTAACAACCAGCAGAGTTATTCAAAGATTCAAATTAAACATAGATAACCGAACAACCCACACATACAAAAGTAAACACAAATAGCATGCCGGGGTCTAATGAAACCAAAGATAAACATTTAAATTCGGAAGGACTATACATAAATAAATACACAATATATACACACACACACACATAAGATTACCTAAACAATATAAATGTATTTATACAAAAGTAGAGTTGTAGTTTGCAAAACGTTTGCATTGAAGTTAAATTATTATATTGATGAAATTGGATACAGGAACCTTTACAGAAATTCTGAGTGTGTTTTTAATTTAAATAACAATTTGCGCGAAATCACATGAAACGAAGCATATACATATTTAAATATAAATTATACGAAACTGAATAAAGTGTATATTCATATATAAATAAATTAAAAGTCTTCAAATATTTCACCTGGAATGTGTTTATGAAAAACTATTTGTTATTATCAACGAGTATCTTTGGATTCGCGACACGAAATACATTTGGCACCATTCCAGCTAATGTAGTGAACAGTTCCTCGGATATATCGTGGGGCAGCAACAATTGCAAGGTGCTGAATGAGAGACATGATTTGATATTTCTAATCGTATAGGTTTATAGAATTGACAAAACTCACCTCAACTCCGCACCTCCCCAAGAGGCAGACTCAATCATAAAACCCTTGGCGCATTTGAATACGAGCTCTGCTCTTCGGATGCACCACGGAACGGTCATATCCTCGCTCATCTCGTGGCGCAGCAGAGCTGGAATGGTTAACGTGGTTATGTCATGACGGCTTGCCGTCTTAAGAATGTTCCGCAAGCCAAGTATGACAGGATGACGTGAATTTATTTCACTGGGGCTATTGATGGGCTCATCCGAGATCAAGTGAAATATGACATGTGATTGGGAGAGATTCGAATGTTTGGTTATATAAAAATCGCCCGTCTTTAGCTTGGCCGCATGCTGCTTAATAGGCGAGGAGGCGGCACTACCTTCAGTGCTGTTACCACTCCCACTACCACTGCCACTGCCATTGCTGGGCGTATTGCTAGTGTCACTGGTGTTAAGAGCGCGGATCTGTTTCTCGATCTTTTCCAGCTGCACATCCATTTGATCAAAATGAAATTCCGTTGATCTGTTAGCATTTTTTATTATGCTCTTATTGGCCTGTGCCTGTATTGAAGGAGTCAGCACTACGACGCCACACAATGAGCTCGAGTAAAGACCCAAAGCCATGTTGAGACCATTCAAATTTTCATCCACATGCAGAGGACTGCACAGGTCCGTCACATTAGCGCTAAGTATTCGGATATTGTGCATATGCTTTAGCTGAGAGCCTAAGTGTATAGTAAAGCTCTCCTCCATCGATGGATGCTGCGAGACAAACATGGAGGAGCGATTGCCCAAGGGAGTGGATACCGGCGATACCTGAAACATTTGACTAACTTGACTGGTGATCCAATCCCGGTACTCGTTTTTCTGATGACCCATCATGGCTTCTAGCTCGGACTCATAGCGTTTCCGTACAAAGTTGTGAGTGGTATATTGCTGAGCCAGCAGATTGTTAATGTCCTCCGATGTTGTAGTTATGTCGAGCTGATTGATTTGGCTATCCATCTCCTGTTGCTGGGAGTCCTTTAACGTTTCCACTTCAGAATCCATATGATCGGTCATGTCGGCTATGACCTTTGCATAGCCTCGTTCGCGCTTAAGAATATCCTCCAATGAAGAGGAGTGCACCAGGCGATGGAAGCTTTGCGCAAATATGTCCTCATCGCTTGGACCAACGCGATCTGCGAATTGTAGCAGTTCCTCCTTATACAGACGTTCTGTATTTCGCACAATAGCCTCTAAGTCCAGCTCTTCATTGGCCGCTTGATTAATTAACTTCTCAGAGTAGTCGTCAAAGAATTTTTGATGTTCTTGGTCAATAAACATCTGCAGTTCTTTCTGTAAATCTTTTGGGGGAGTGTCAAATAAAATTTTGTTTCATTTTACAATGTATCTTACTTATGTCTTCATCTAAATATCGCATCATTGGATCCATTTGGGCTAAAAGCTGTGTAACCAATTCATCAATGCTTTCATCCTCAAAAGGAAATGTAATATCCAGCTTGGCAACACAATCTTTACCCGCATAGTCCTTGTAGCTGTACACAAATTGGACGATAGTGGTCTCCATTCTAAACTATTCTTGCACCACACCCAAACGACTCTGAATAACTTGCTTGGCTAACGCTGTGATCGGCTTTTTATTTTTAAAGCTTTAGAATCTCCTAGTTAATTTACAAGCACTCACACAGCTAGCAATCACGGTTAATATGGTGCAATTAGAGATGTATCACTGTTAAATGACTCGATATTTCTTATCGTGATTTCCATCACGCCCACCTGTCATGCCTTCCGGGACAAATCACCAAACATAGTACCTGCCCAATAATTAAAAATAAAAATTATATAGGTATACCCACCTATACACCAGATTATTAATTGCAGCTTCATATCTAAGTCCGCCGCACATATCCAATAGCTATCGGCTTAACATACGATAGTAAAATGTTAATGAAAACAGCTGACAGTAAATTAACTAGTGTGTACACACTGAATCCAAAGAAATATGCCGGTCAACAATTTCGTTATAAAAGAAAACAAACGCATTTTATTTTTAATTTTTATTGTTTATTGAGAATAGAAATTAATTCAAATTATTATTATTTACAAAAGCCGATACGGGTTCCATCCGCTATAGTGAATACCTGAAAATTACACTTCTGTTGAATCGTTCAACAACTTACCCAAGTCGATCGACCATCCGAGAGTTGCCGCAAGAGTTCAGCACCGCCGATACAATTGCAAGTGTATGGGTTGATTGTCCGTTCTGTGGCTGAGGCTGTTAGCTTGGCGACCGTCATTTCAGCGCTTTGCATTACTTTTCAGCCAACTTGGAACAAAAATTATAATATACAATTTTAAATGGTATTCATAAGTTATATACCGAGTGTGCAATCCAAATGAAAATAAATATAGAAATAATAAATGAATAAAAAGTGCCCGCCCACAACAATTACTATCGTATTGGCATACTGACTCTACCCGCTTACTTGCCTCTTTTAACTTACAGTGGAATGCAATCTGGCACCTGTTTTGTGCTTGCTTTGCTGCTGCGCCTTGCTTTTTACCTGTCCTGAATACAAGATTGAAGCTATATACGAATAAATATCAAGACTAGGCTTGAACTAAACAACGGGTTTAATTTGGTTTTTGGTATTTTTTCTTTTTTCGTTTTTGTTTGTCAATTTTACATAAATTCATTGCTGTATTTTATATCTTTCTTTGCTACATTTAGTGTAAATTTTGTTAACATATTAAAAATCCTTAATTGCGCTGACCTCTGAGAAACTGCATACAAACTGCTACAAGGTTTCGATTACAATTAATTGTTGTTCATTTGGTTAAAACTAAACATTTGGAGATAATTTAGTTCAATGTCGTCATAGTCACTTACAAAAAACTAGCACAAGTAGATCCTCCTCGCTATGATATATGTATATATTTGTAAATATATTATTTAATGCTAAGGCAGCACGCGGCTCTTGAAAAAGTGAGCGCACGCCCTACACGTTTTTAAAATTATGGGAACTTAAGCCTAGAGAAAAGTATTAATACATTTGTTTTTTAAATATAGATTTGTGTAGATTTTTGCACTGATTATCAGAAATTTTGGGCGGCAACCATTCAGCCATTGGGGGCTTCGCTTGAATGTAAAATTAAGCATCGGTTGCGCCCTGAAGTTTGTTTTTTATTCCTTTTTTTTGCGTTTGTATATACTAAGTTATTTTGCTGTTAACTGAAGGATTCTTGATAAACAGATGTGGCTACAAGGATACATAATCATCTTTGAATTGTTTATGTTAAGCTTTTTCTTTAGCTGCACAACTTAAATGTTGTGACGTTTCTAGTTTACAATGATCCTTTTGCATTAATTTTAGGTTGGCTACAAAATGTTGAAATATAAATATTATGCTATTTTGAATATTGAATAGGTAGGTAGGTTTTGACGAGTGTGAGTAGGTTGAATCAATTATCGTATATCGTATTGTAACTGTGCAAATTACTCTTATTGAATCCTGGCCAGCTGCTGTGTACGTGTACTCTGCTGGATGCGTATGTGTGAGGGTTCGCTGCTGCCGCTGCTGCTTACTTCTCTTCTCTTCACTGTCTTCACTGTATTTGTAAGTTCTGTTAAAACTCTGCTGCTGCTGCTGCTGCTGCTGTTGTTGCAACTGCTCTCTGAATAAAACGCACCACACACATATACACACACACACATTCACAGACTGATCTGCTCTGTACTTGTACTGACTTTGACTGAACCAATCTCACACGACTGCACTGCACTGTTCCTGATATTTATCTTCTGTCATGCTTTTGGTATGGTTGTTCTCGGAAAACTTCTTAGGTATATGAGTTGTTGCTCATATCATTGAATTGCGTATCGTTTACTTGACTTTGACTTTTGGGCATAAACTGAGCCACTGCTAATTTACCACCTATAAAATGTCGATAAATGAGAAACGTTATTTAAATCAATTGGTGTTAAGCATTCCAACATTACTTAAAGTTTTTTTCTAAATACGTTTACAGAAATAATTACTTAAAAATATTAGATTTCAAAGTTCAAGAGTTTTTAAAAGAAAATGTTTTCAAGCTTAAATATTTTTCTCTTATTTGCTGGTTAGAATCTACTAGGAAATGCCAATAAAATAAGATGTCTATATTTTAAAATGTGTATATATAAAGAACACAAGAAACCTAACCAAATCGTTTGTTAAATCAAGTAAAAAATATATTTATATTTACATATGTATATATAAATATACATGGTATATATAAATACATATATATAAATATAATGGGTGGATAAGTTGGTAGGTTGCTTTTCAAAATTGTACTTGTTAGGTCCTTAACTAATTTTATAGCTATGCTCACCTCGTCTGGGCGCCTCAATATCTGCGGTTGTTGCCTCCACCGTTATTGAAGCCCTGATTGTTGCCACCATAATTGCCTTGATTGCCACCGCCTTAAAAACACAAAAAGAACCCATATGCACTTTTAGAAAGTGTTTCAAAACTAACCTTAATCTCTAAATATCACTATAAACTGCACTATAACGTGTCTGCTGATTGATAGATTACAAATGCCTAACACAACATAAATCGAAGTCTCTGCATGCATATTTCATCTTTTGTGGTTAAGCCTAAAGAGCTAAGCTCTATGAACGTTCCCACAATTCGAATTCTACACTGTTATTATCTACATTTCTAATACTCAGTTTTCAAATATAATTGTAATGTAGATCGGTGTGAGGTGTTTTCGAATGATGCTTACCTGCTTTGTTGCCAAAGTTGCCGCTTTGGTAGGGCTGCATGCGGTTGTTGCCAAAGTTGCCACCACGCTGGGGGCCACCGCTATAGCCCTGTTGATAATTTCCAAAATCATTGCCGCCATTGTTACCCCAGTTGCCGTTACCACCGCCGCCGCCAAAGTTGCCACCATTGTTGCCCCAATTGTTATCCCACGGTCCGTTATTTCCCCAGCAATTATTACCACCTCCGTAGCCGCCGCCAAAATTGTTGTTGCCCCAATTGTCGTTATTACCGCCGCGATTACCCCAGTTTCCGTTTTGGTTGCCGAAGTTGCCACCACCACCCATATTGCCGCCCATGTTTCCACCCCTATTGCCACCACCACGACCACCCTGGCCACGACCACCACCACCACCGCCTCCCATTTCATTTTGCTTCGGCAAAGCCTTCTTCACGTCCACCATTTTGCCATTGAGCTGATGCTGTTTTTGCACTGAAAATAAATAAAATCAAGGAAGATGTGTTTAATTGTGAACTAAACGTACTAAAAGTTGATACTAAGAAGAGTAAAAACAGACTTGTTGATATTTGCTTTTATAACAGCTAGATTTTTAATAAAACGGGAAATAAAGTTAAACTTAAAAGAAGATTGTAACGAGGCTGCGTGTTACGCTGAACTAGGATGTTAGTGAATTCGCATAACATAGCTTAGCCGACGCTTTTATTACTCTCACAGCATTCACAAGGAAAAACCGTACAAGCGAAGATCAAGCTTGTCAATTTGTCAGTACTGTGTTGTTTCATCGACCAATTGTCGCACATACGTTTTCATCAGTTAGGCATTCTTGGTGCCTAAGCAACAAAGATATAATATGTGTCAGTTTTCTCTTACAGTCAATGAACGCCGCACAGACACATCAAACATTGCTATGCGGAGCTGGGACTGTGAATTATTTTTTATGGAATTTTTTATGGAATTTCGTTTTGGCTAGATAAGATAAAGCAAAGTAAACTGTGGAAGTTTGAATATTCTGTAGAGTTCCAGTGTGCTGATGTGGTCTTTTTAGTTAAAACAGATTTCATGTAACGAGGCTGCGTGTTACACAGAACTAGTATTTTAATAGATTCGCATAACATAGCTTAGCCGACGCTTTTATTACTCTCACAGCATTCACAAGGAAAAACAGTACAAGCGACGATCAAGCTTGTCAATTTGTCAGTGCTGTGTTGTTTTATCGACCAATTGTGGCACATACGTTTTCATCAGTTAGGCATTCTGAGTGCCTAAGCAACAAAGATATAATACGTGCGAAATTTCTATTACAGTCAATGAACGCCGCACAGACACATCAAACATTGCTATGCGGAGCTGGGACTGTTAATATATTGAAATAAAAACTATTCTTCTTTACTTACACACAACTTTGTCCACGGGATCGTAATCATCGAATTCGACAAAGGCAAAACCACGTTTTTTGCCGGTCTCTTTGTCCATGACAATGTTGATATCAACAATGTTGCCGTAGTGCTGGAAATATTCACGTAGGCTCTGCTCGTCATGATCGTCCTTCAAAGCGCCCACGAACAGCTTCTTAACCGTTGCGCCTGCATTTGGCGAGTCAATGTCTTGGCGTGGAACAGCACGCTTGGGCTCGACGACACGTCCGTCGATCTTGTGAGGACGAGCCTTCTGGGCTTCATCTACCATGCTTGAATGCGAGTATGTAATGAAGCCGAAACCGCGTGAGCGCTTCGTACGTGGATCCTTCATTACGACCACATCGACAATTTGTCCCCATTTTTCAAAGTGAGCTTTTAAATTATCATCGGTAGTACGGTAATCGAGACCACCAATAAACAATTTGCGCATATGCTCTGGCTCAGAAATAGAGTCCTAAATAAAAATAAAATTCAAGTTTCATATCGATTTTTTCATCAAGCCATACATACATAACCTCTACCCCGCTGACGCACATGCGAAAAATTTCAAAATGGCGGTCAACGAGACACGCGTATGTATGTACCCATTGCATGCATACAAATTTAGATATTTTAAAAATGTTTGCGTACTTACATCATCATGCTGTCCGTTTGAATTTCCATTCTGATCGTTATGGCCGCCCATTTTATATATTTTTTCACAATATATATGTATATATAGTTTTCTTTTAAATTCAAAAAACGACACAGCACAAACGCTCCACTCGCTTGCGTTGAAAACTGAAAATTGAAATGTAATGCTAGACTGTGTGGCCAAGTTTCACAAATGTCAATATACTTTAAAAGCAGTGTTGTGTAAGGCCTCTTTTATAGAAATAGTATGCTGTTCGCAATTTATGTGATTCCATAAGAAAATTAAGAGAGAAAATAATATTATATGCTATATTTCATGCAATAGGTGTGAATAATAACAATAATGAATATATATATTTTTTGATGTTTCGTAATGTAACAATACAATTTTACGTGCTTCACCAAATTCATCCGACCACCATACATACCTTAACAAGTTCACTAGTTCTTATCGTTTCCCTTTTTTTTTTGAGTTCGATACAAAGTTAGGATGCCGAAGAAGAAAACCGGCCAGCGAAAAAAAGCTGAAAAGCAAAAGTTACGTTTAAAAGAGATTAGGGGACGAGAGATTCCTCTCGCCGATCTACCGTGCAATGCGCCAATGGACTGCGATAAGTGTGAGAAAAAGCAGAAGTCTCGTGCTTTTTGCTACTTCTGCCAGAGCGTGCAACGATTGCCCATTTGTGCACAATGTGGCAAAATAAAGTGCATGTTAAAAACTGGAGACTGTGTGGTCAAGCATCCTGGTGTTTATACGACTGGATTCCCTGGCATGGTTGGTGCAATTTGCGACTTCTGTGAGGCCTGGGTGTGTCACGGACGCAAATGCTTAACCACGCACGCATGCACCTGTCCACTGCAGAACGCTGTGTGCTTAGAATGTGAGCGTGGCGTCTGGGAACATGGTGGACGTATCTTCAAGTGCTCGTTCTGCAATGGCTTTCTTTGCGAAGATGACCAGTTCGAGCACCAGGCCTCATGTCAGGTGCTGGAGTCAGAGAACTACAAGTGTCAATCATGCAATCGTCTCGGTCAATATTCGTGTTTGCGCTGCAAGACTTGCTACTGCGAGGATCATGTACGTCGCAAGGGCTTCAAGTATGAAAAGAACAAGGCTATCCCTTGTCCCAAGTGCAACTACGAAACGTCCGTTACAAAGGATTTGAGCATGTCTACGCGCTCCCACAAGTTTGGCCGTCAACAGCAGGGCATGGGCAGCGATGACGAGGAGGGTTATGGTGGCTACTATGGGGGCTATGGTGCCAGTAGCAGCGCTGGCTATTCATATGGAGATGATGAAGATGACGAGGATGGCGAGGACGATGAAAGCGAAAGCGAAGATGATGATGAGGAGACAAGTGGCAGTGAAGCCGACGAGACTGCAGAAGTTGATAAAAAAGCGGAAAAATAATTCAAATTGTATAAATAGATACATTTATGTATATATATTTTAAATCGATATGCGAATTACATAAATCATGTTGTGGCAAAAGAAGCCATTAATTTATTTTTTAAGGTTTTTTATATATTTAATTTAGTAAAAGTTTGGCTGATATGCGCAAAAGGTGGTTGCTATGAATAAAGAATGCATTGGTTTATTGCGCATTTCACAGCACTGGTTACTTGCACGTGCGACATAGACTTGTTTTGATTTGAAATGGAAATTTTTAATAATCGTCCCGGATTCTGTCCGTCCTGCGGATCAATCCTGCCACCGCTACAAGTCAAAGGAAACGTATTTTGTTATAACTGTAAACAAGAGTTCTCCCCAGATGGTAAGATACGGATAGAAACTGAATAATGTGAAGTTTCAATCCAAATCATGTCAATTTCACAGTTTACATCGGGGAGACATCCGAATATACAATACACTTCAACAGCTTCGATCCCAGCAAAATTTCCAAAAAAGTAACCCAAAAGTCCGAAGCAACAGAAGCAGATGGTCCTGTTGTAGAGCGAAAGTGCCCCAAATGTGGCAACGACAAAATGTCCTACGCCACATTACAGCTGCGCTCGGCGGACGAAGGTCAAACTGTGTTCTTCACGTGTCTGAAGTGCAAGTAAGTGAATGGTTGCATATAGATACAACTCACCTATGCTTAACTACGGTTTTTATTTACAGATACAAGGAATCAGAGAACTCCTAAATGCATAACTTTAGCTGTTAGTCAACTAATTGTGTAAATACATATAACTTATATTAATCAAAATAACTATGTTCGACGGCCTGCAAAATAAATGTAGATGGGAACGAAAATTTTGAGATGTCGTTCATTATAATATCATGACTTACCTCTGTGGCTTTAAGTCGATTCTTTGGATTGTACACGACCAAATTGGATACCAAATCAATTTCAACGGCATGTGTGCAGCTTGGAAACAAATTGTTCCAATGTATGCCCACTGAATTGGGAAACCTAGATCGCAACAGTGATATTAAGATCACGTGAGGCACAAAACAAATCCCTATTTTACCTAATTTTGCTGTAATCGGGCAGTGACGTTAACTCTGGCCATTCGTTCAGACGGGGACTGCCCAGCGTTCGTATTATTATGGCCAGTTGTTCGATATCTGTCGTGCCTGCAAAGAGCGGTACGCCACGTAGCATTTCGGCCAGCACATTGCCGCATGCCCATAAATCAACGGCAGGTCCGTACTTCTGACTGCCCCAGAGTATTTCAGGTGCTCGATACCAGCGAGTGGAGACCTGCGGCGAGTACAAGCGCGACTCCTCGTCGGGAAAGTAGAGACGTGCCAAGCCAAAGTCGGCAATTTTTAGGACATCCATTTGACTGATCAGCAAATTAGCTGGTTTGATATCCCTGTGCATAATGCCCGCCTCGTGCAGATAGGCCATACCCTTGAACATCATTAACGAATACTTTCGCACCTGCTGGCGACTCAGCGGATTCACCTCACTCTTCAGCCGACCGTACAGCGTGTCCGGCATGTACTCCAGCACCAACGAAAGACCCGTCAGATCCGGATATATTTCAATTATATTGAGTATCTGAAAACATTTAGTACATTTAGAGCTGGCATGGCATTAGATTAGAGCTTACATATTCAGAGTTGCACAATTGAAGTGTCTTAATCTCGCGCAGCGTATTCAAGGATATGTTGCCGAATTTATTTTTCAATGCCACCTTTTTGATGGCCACCTCCACATTGCGCTGCAAATCGAGGGCCTTGAACACGCAACCGTGCACGCCTTCGCCAATTTTATCCTGCATTTTATAGCGACTGGGTGCATAGTCCTCCATGATTTAAATTCGGTAATTGAGTGCTGCTCTTCTTTACAATATTTTTTTTTTTTAATATTCATTCGTTGTTCGTAGCCCTTGGCAACGGTCATAACAGTAAACCAAACAGTCGTTACCCTGCGAATAGCGCTAACAAAACAAAAGTCCGTCCAGTTAGCCACCTGTTGTCAGGTTGTTTACGCAGTTTTTCCCAACTCGTTCAGAATGCGAACTGTAACTCAAAGCGTGGGCTGTCAAAGTTTAAGGCATGCGCACTGGCATGGCCTTTGGCTGCTGTCAGCGCAACTGTCAAATTGCAAGGATACACAATTTTTCGGACCTTCGCAACTTCCAACGAAACGAAAACTGCTTAAAATATCAAATAAAACTATTCGAATATGTCTTTAGTTATTAAGTGAATCAATCAATAAATCTGGTAGGTGTTGATTCCTTTTCAGTATTAGATTTTAGCTTAGCGCTTGAAATGGGCGCAAGAAAAACAGTTAAATAAGTGGAGTGTATAGTGTCTGTATTTACCCTGAAAGTGCATAGTTCCAGTTAAAAAACTATTTCTACAATTCAAATGACGTTATAGTTACATATATTGTTATTGTCCTTAACATTAAATGATACATAATTTAATAAGTGCAGTTTGTGACAAATTGCATCAAGGACTGGTTATTGTACATATAATTCTACCTTAATATATATGTATATATACATATATTTATGTATGTGTATACCTAAGGATACTCACCTAAGTACAGGCATACATACATACATATACATTAAGTATATATGTATATATATACATATAGGAAATTTTCACGTTGGCACGCAGGGCCTGTCAGGCGCAGCAGCACCTTGAACCAATTTACCATTGTTATAACTAGGCTAAGTTTTGAAAAAGGCAAATAGTGTAATAGCCCAAAGCATTTGAAGGTCTAACGAACTATAATATCTGCTAAATAAAAGGTTAAATAAAAAAACAATTGTTTTGTGATTCATATCTAAGAGACGCACAAATACGAACCCCTGAATAATTATTGATTTCTTCACTTGGCTACACAAATATTGAAATATCTAAGCGATTCACAGCTCGCGCGCACAGCAAGATGTTCCAACCGAATCTAATCCTTTCACTGTTGCTCTGCCTTGGGTTGTGTTTGAGTCGTGTTCAAGCTCGAACTGCCAAGCGCTCCGATGTTTACATTGCGGGCTTCTTTCCATATGGCGATGGCGTTGAGAACTCGTACACTGGACGTGGAGTTATGCCCAGCGTGAAACTGGCGCTTGGCCATGTCAATGAGCATCCACAGATATTGACCAACTATCGGCTGCACATGTGGTGGAATGATACACAGGTGGGATGTGCTTAAATATGAACTAGTTGCTATATATACATATATTTACATATATTTACTGCTATTCCCAGTGCAATGCTGCAGTGGGTGTGAAGTCCTTTTTCGACATGATGCACTCAGGCCCCAACAAGGTGATGCTCTTTGGTGCCGCCTGCACGCACGTCACAGACCCCATAGCCAAGGCCAGCAAGCACTGGCACTTGACGCAGCTGAGCTATGCGGACACCCATCCCATGTTCACGAAGGACGCGTTTCCCAACTTCTTTCGCGTCGTACCCTCGGAGAATGCATTTAATGCTCCACGGCTAGCGCTGCTCAAGGAGTTCAACTGGACGAGAGTGGGCACTGTGTACCAGAACGAGCCACGATATTCGCTACCGCACAACCATATGGTAGCAGATCTGGACTCCATGGAGCTGGAGGTGGTGGAGACTCAAAGTTTTGTCAACGATGTGGCCGAGTCTCTGAAAAAGCTGCGCGAGAAGGACGTACGCATAATTCTGGGCAACTTCAATGAGCATTTTGCACGCAAAGCTTTCTGTGAGGCCTATAAGTAAGCCCGTTAAAAAATTCTTTCAAAATCGAACGGCCTTAATCGTGTTTCCTGCAGATTACAAATGTATGGACGCGCCTATCAGTGGCTAATCATGGCCACTTATACAACAGATTGGTGGAATGTGACGCTGGATAGCGAATGCACCGACAAGGAGATAGCCACTGCCTTGGAGGGCGCCATATTGGTGGATCTGCTGCCGCTCTCCACCAGCGGTGACATTACCGTGGCAGGCATAGTAAGATATCTTGAGATTGTGCATTCATTGGTCGTCCTTCAATCCATATTTGTCTTGCAGACGGCGGACGAGTATCTGGTTGAGTATGATCGACTACGCGGCACAGAATATTCACGCTTCCATGGCTACACGTATGATGGCATCTGGGCGGCCGCCTTGGCAATACAGTATGTGGCGGAGAAACGCGAGGATTTGTTGACGCATTTCGACTATCGTGTCAAGGACTGGGAGAGTATATTTCTCGAAGCATTGCGTAATACTTCCTTTGAGGGCGTAACGGTTCGTATGCCGATGCCGATCTATGTTTTACTTTTATTACATTTATATCATTCTCAAGGGTCCTGTACGCTTCTACAACAACGAACGCAAGGCCAACATTCTAATCACCCAATTTCAATTGGGCCAAATGGAAAAGATCGGTGAATATCATTCGCAGCAAGCACACTTGGACATGACACTGGGCAAGCCAGTGCGCTGGGTAGGCAAAACGCCGCCCAAGGATCGTACCCTAATCTATATAGAACACAGCCAGGTGAACCCCACCATATATATTGTGTCAGCCAGCGCCTCGGTCATTGGCGTGATCATAGCCACTGTTTTCCTAGCCTTCAATATCAAATATCGTAATCAACGGTAAGATCCTAATCAGCCATATATATCCTTATCTACTTTACCGAGTCTGTGTGTTCCTTGCAGCTACATCAAAATGTCTAGCCCGCACTTAAACAATCTGATTATAATTGGCTGCATGTTAACCTACTTGAGCATTATATTCCTGGGCCTGGACACTACGCTGAGTAGCGTGGCAGCTTTTCCCTATATATGCACGGCTCGTGCTTGGATCTTAATGGCTGGTTTTAGTTTGGCCTTCGGTGCTATGTTCTCGAAAACTTGGCGTGTGCATTCGATTTTCACCGACTTGAAGCTGAACAAGAAAGTAATCAAGGACTATCAGCTGTTTATGGTTGTGGGCGTGCTGTTGGCCATTGACATAGCGATTATAACCACCTGGCAGATAGCCGATCCCTTTTACCGCGAGACCAAGCAACTGGAGCCTAAAGTGAGAAGAACAAAATTAGAGATTATTGAATTTAATTCCAATTTTCACTTACAGCATCACGAGAACATTGATGATGTGCTAGTCATACCCGAGAACGAGTACTGCCAATCGGAGCACATGACCATATTCGTTAGCATCATCTATGCCTATAAGGGCTTGCTACTGGTAACCAAATGGACTTAGATTTATTGAATTTCGCCAATTTGATTTGAAAATTTCTACCCCTTCAGGTTTTTGGCGCCTTCTTGGCCTGGGAAACCCGGCATGTCTCCATACCAGCTCTAAATGACTCCAAGCATATTGGTTTCTCCGTTTATAATGTGTTCATTACTTGTATTGCCGGCGCGGCTATATCGCTTGTTTTATCGGATCGCAAGGATTTAGTTTTTGTCTTACTCTCGTTTTTTATCATTTTTTGTACGACAGCCACTTTGTGTTTGGTGTTCGTACCGAAAGTAAGACTGGTAGTAAGGAAGTTTTGTAGTTTTTGTAGCTGTTAAACACATAATCGTATATTACTTATATACACGAGGGGCGTACGAGTACATACGTATTATGTTGAATGTTGTTCGTTTGATCATTTCGAATGTCAGCATCCGTAGAAAGGATGGCATTTCAAATGATCAGCATTTCATTTAGCGTTGCTCTTTACGCACTAAATTACTTAACTTAACTCTGCTAATGCTACATAACACTACATAATAACTTTTAAAACGCTATATTTACTATCTTTATACTTAACTATGTGCATATACCAGCAATGTCATAGTGTCTTTTGAAAGACTCTACTCTATAATTGAATGTAAACATCTATTGACATTTCTGGTATGCTGTTCTTCAAATCTAGTCTCACCTGAGACATTACTTACCTTGCTGTGTACCGTGTTCTCTGAATGTTAGCTTACTTAAGCAATGGTTCATCGAATTCCAGCTCGTCGAACTTAAACGTAATCCTCAGGGCGTTGTGGACAAGCGAGTGCGCGCTACTCTACGCCCTATGTCCAAGAATCGACGCGATTCCTCGGTCTGTGAGCTAGAGCAGCGGCTGCGCGATGTTAAGAACACCAATTGTCGCTTCCGCAAGGCTCTGATGGAGAAGGAGAACGAGCTGCAGGCTCTAATACGCAAACTGGGTCCGGAGGCGCGCAAGTGGATTGATGGAGTCACCTGTACAGGTGCCCCCACAGATATGGAGCCCATACTGAGTGACGATATGGCCAAGTTATCAGCTCCGCCTGTACGCCGCGAGATGCCCAGCACCACAGGTGAGTGAACACTTTGTTATCTAGACAAATTCATGCATTGCTCACTGCTTGCACCTAGAAGTTACCGAGCTGACATCCGTGGACAGTATCACCTCGACACACGTTGAAATTGACAACTCATTTGTATCGGTGCAGTCCACCACTGTGGCACCCTCCTTACCGCCGTAAGTACAAATTTTCTATATTGCTTGCAGTTTTATAACCTGCTTACTCAATAGCAAAAAGAAGAAACAGTCAATTGTGGAGCAACCTCCGAGTGCTATGATGCAGCCGATTCAGCAACAGCTACAGCAACATCTTCAGAAACAGCAGCAAATGCAACAGCAGCAGCAACAACAACAACATCAGCAGCAACAGCAACAACAGCAGCAGCAACAACAACAGCAACAACTACATCAGCACCATCGACACTTGGAGAAACGAAATTCAGTTTCGGCTCAGACAGATGGAAATATTGGCGGCGTAACCAGTAGCAGCTCCACTAAACGCTCTACAGGCGACTGCAACGCAATGAGGGATCGCCGCCAGTCAACAGTGTCCAGGCACTATGAAAGCGGCAGCCAAACGCCAACGGCTAAGCCAAAGTATAGCAGCACACATCGCAATTCCTCCACAAATATATCCACCTCGCAATCGGAGCTGAGTAACGTGTGTCCACACAGCAAACCCGGCACACCGGGCGTCATTAAAAGTATGTACATATATGTTACTACTACTACTACTTTACTTTATGTATTCAAATTAAAATATTATTCCTTGCTTAAACAGCCCCCACTGCCTCGGATCATCGTCGCACCAGCATGGGTTCGGCACTCAAGTCGAACTTCGTTGTCTCCCAGAGTGATTTATGGGACACACATACGCTCTCCCATGCCAAGCAGCATTCGCGCCAATCGCAGCGTACCTATGCCAGTCCGCAACGTTGCTCAGAACATCACGGCCACGTGATGCCCTATGAACAAAACACAACGTCACCTATCCAGCGCTCTGTCTCGGAAAAGAATCGTAATAAACATCGTCCCAAGCCACAAAAGGGCACAGTCTGCCAGAGCGAGACGGACAGCGAGCGCGAACGGGAGCCGACGCCCTCGAGCGTGCAGCAGTGCACGCAGACGCGCAAATTCAATCGAAATGCAAACATTCAACATGCGGCGCATCATCACAGCTCACCGAACGTGGCGCCGGAGAAGCAAAGGAAGCATCGTAACCGAACCGACCATTCGATCTATGGTGCCAGCTCCGAAACTGAACTTATAGAGGGAGAAACAGCTATACTCCCCATATTCCGGAAGCTACTCACTGAAAAGAGTCCCAACTATCGCGGCCGTAGCGTCGTTGGACAGAGCTGCCCAAATATATCCATCAAATGCGATATCGTTGAATATTTGTAAGCAATGATGACAATGCTGCATCTAAACGACGAATATGTGTGCAGTTTTTAGCCCCTAGGTCAAAATTCCTTATACTCTACACGTTATCGTAATGCGTACTAATGTGTAGAGAAACAAAATTTCATAAATTGCTAGCACAAATATTATTGACAAACATAGTTGAAAATTTAATAATAACTAATATAAGTACATTGCAAATGGTTGTTTCTCTCTGGAAATAAAATGGGGTAGTTTCAAAAAATATTTTCTTCAATGAATTGTTTTACAGGTAACATTTATTAAATCACTTCAACACATTTTATAAGTTCAATGAAGGAAGTACAAGGTTTTCAGTTGTAGTTAAGTACAATACGTCATGATGTTTTAGTAACTCTCATGGCCTGTATAAACATAGAATTTGAGTTTATCAATTTGTCACCTTCTGTATCACAGTTACATGGTTATTACAAATGTGAGTGTGTTGTGCGTGTTGTGTGTCTGTGTGTGTTTTGAACAATTACGACTAAATAGGATAGACAACACATATGGTACATCAAAGTACATTATATATAGATGTACATGTACATAGCTCTACCATATATGGTAATTACATATACATTCATATACACTATAATGCCGGCACCAACATAGTTGGCCCGCTTTAACAGCTAATAAAAATTCAGAGTATAAATAGTTTTGATTACAGTTAAATACGCAAGTACATAAACGATTACGCGGACGCGCTCTGTTTTCTTTTTCTTTTTCTTTTTCATTAAATGTTTCACTAAAAACTAATAATACCGACATTATGCAGTCGTACAGTTATGGACGTACCCAGTACTCTCCGCTAATTGCTTCAGTTTACAAATTTTTGAGCTCACTTAGCTCAGGTGAGCGCCAAACGTTACAACAACTAAGTAAAAAAGCGCATTGCAACTGTTTGAAGTCTTTTTGGAATAGCACACTAAATAGTCATTCAAATTGCCAACTAGTTTGCGAAAATGTTTGTTCAAGCATAAGTACAAATCATTTTGACTTGTTCATTATCTCTTCTTCTTCGTCAATTAGCAAAGTAAAAAATGTGGCAAACATTTGCGCAAACTGATTAACTTTCTGAATAATGCTTAATACTAACAAAGTAGTTGCACATATGAGTTTATATAAATATATATGTATAGCTATGGTATATCGATACAGAACACTAACATGAACGCCATGTGTACACATGTATTATTATACATATACATAATAATTGTATATATTTTCTGCTCTAGCTTTGCCATTGTATATAATTTTTTAAAATTCATATATTTGCACCCCCTTATCAAAGGCATCAAGAAGCTCTCTTCAAATTTAAAGTTAGTCCGCATTAGTGCGGCGTTTGAAATGAGTGTTCAAAGTTCTCAGTCAGCGAGAGCGGCGCATGACCACTTTCAGTGCCTGAAATGGTTTTAATCTGATTGCTGGAATTAAGCGATTCCAGTTCATGTGTTTCCGAATTGGCCATTTCAACAATGGCTGAGCTGGTGGGTGTTAGCAGTTGTTCAGTGGCAATTATTCGACTTGGTTTACTATAAAATATTACAACATACAAATTAGAAATAGCAAACAAATTGGATCACTTACACTTACCGTTCATAAAACTTGTTCGCCTTTGCAGTTCGACGCTTGCGTAATAAAGGCCAGCCCAGCTGCATGAAGCCATACTGCGGTCCGGCTACCTTGAGCAGGCTCATCAAAAAAAATGTGGCATAGAACCAACTAGTGACCATAACTACTACCAAAAAGACGCCTATCTGTATGTAGGGCAATATGTTGGATGTCATCATAATGCCACCGGCAAAGGCAGTAGTAGCTGCCGCCATAACCGTTGGGCCGATGATGCGCGACAAAACAAATTGTGTGGCTGCATTGCGCTCCTTAGAGGGCGACAGGCGATAGTGTATCCCGTAATGAAGACTGAAATCCACAGCCAAGCCAATTGCAGTTGACACGGCAATGCTTTCCAGTACGTTAAGCTGCCAGCCAAGTAAAATAAGCACTGCCACAGTATTGAATATGGTCAGCGAGACAGTTATGACAGCATAAATCGAAATGATTATATTGAGTGTGAAACATAGCAGGACCACAAGAGAAGCGCCCATGGCCAGTATAATAGCCGTGATCGTGTCATGCGAAAGAGTGTCCTGAACATTGAAAAATTTGAGATCACTGATAAACCAGCCGCCACGTAATTCCGCTGGAGCCGTGCTAAGCTGCTGTTGAAACCAATTTTCAACCGTTTCATAAAACAACTTGATGTTAGCGTAGAGGGTGCTGTAAGCCGTAGTGGAATCGAACTCAATGATTATTGCCTTTACGACCAGTTGGGGGGATGTAGTTTCTATGCTTAAACTCTCATTACTGTTGCTCTCACTATACTCATCTGATCGACTGGGTGCAGCTGCGAATTTGGGACCCGCTTTTCCGTGCTGATAAAAACTGGTTTCATACAAATTGGAAATGCATTGGGGCAAACACTGCTCAAATATGTGTGGCTCATAGGGAAACTGTGCTTCGCAGCAGGGTGTGCGATCCAATCTCCGTCTATCCATTTCATCAATGCATCTAAGAGTTATATGGCTTAATAGAGCCCTTAAATAGTAAGAATAAGCGTTTACTTACCTACGTTCCATGTATCTTATGAAGTTCTCAATGAAGCAATTTGGCAGCAAAAATCCAAAGGTGGCCTGATAAAATGGCTGCTGGCGTATGTTTTGGCAAAAGTTTCTCAGCCAAATCTGTGCCGGTTTGCTTGATATATTAAAATTATTGTCATAGTGCAAGTTGCCGTACGAATTTGGGTTCGTATAGTCGCCATCGTCCAGAGCTTGTACGCCCCAAACGAAACGCATACTCATATTGAAGTTTTCCACTCCTTGTAGAGGCTTCTCAAACCAAAACAGATGCTTCAGCCTTGTATAAACTTCAAATGGATGACTCGAAACAAATAATTGGAAATCGGGCTTTTGGGGCAGCTGCAGGCCCGGATACCAGAACACAATGAGGGCACTTAAAGTCCCCAGTACGGTAAAAACAAATAGCCATAAGTATGCATAGTTCATAATGCTTTGAGTAATGCGCTCTTCGAACAATTCGCAAAATCGATTAATTGACTTCTTACAGGCGTTGAGCAATTTTTGTGATAAATGCTGCTGGCAGGACATACGGCTAGCAAACAGGCGTTCCATAATTGAAACCGAGGCGGGCAGCCATGTGATCATGAGCAAATAGTTTGTCACTACAACAGTGCCCGCAAATATTCTAAAAAATAAACTTGTTTATAAATGGATTTCACTATAAAGACATCACTTACCCAAAACATTTAATTGCCGTTATGGAGCTACTATAGGATGCATAAAATGCGCCGGCAGTGGTAACCGAGGTAACAAACATAGATGCCGCCGCATGTCGCATGGTTAGCGCCATGAGATTCTCCAATGTTTCAGTATGCTCATTGTGCTCCAAAGGCGTGGGTAATGTTGATTGTGTGTTCAGTGTGCTGCTCTTGCTGAAACGCTCGGCCAACACACATTGCCAAATTTTAAGGAACAGGAACACATCATCAGCACCAATGCCAATGATAACCACAATGGCCAGCAGATTCATGTATGGAAAGAAGTTAAACTCAAAAACCACTGTGTAGGCAAAGTATGCTAATCCCAACGAGAAGCAAATGGCACAACATGACATCAAAGTTATAAACGCTGACCCTGTATATAACCAAACGCAGGCCATAACGAAGAGTCCACCTAGTGATACCAGCCACACGTCCGTTAGTAACAGCTCGTTAAATAGCTCATTTTCCAAACCCAAATCCATAGCAACAACTTCCACCAATTCATTTCTCAGAGGTCTGTAAAAAAAAGTCGTAGGATATCATAAGCGTTCAATTTTACGTCATATAATGCTAGAAATAACTGTTAAACTTTATAATAGGCTTGTAAGCTAAAAAAACAAATATTCATACAATTTATCTCTCCAGAAAAACTCAATGTAAAAATTAGAAAATTAAATTATCTTTGACGCCTAAATACGAATCGATTTGATAAAATGGCAGCAAATACTGAATCCAACCAGCGTTTGCTTGAAATAAACGTGAATACTCTGCTGCCAAAATGTTTTAGGAAAAAGACAGTCACTGAAGTGGATTATATAAATCACATGCATGATGGTCGCATCTATAAGCCAAACAAGATATTTAGATATCAAACCGATCCGGCATTGATCGCTGGCCATTGTGCGAACAATCTTAAGGTAAATAACGTACAGATAAAGACTCGAACATGGCCGTATGCCATGGACTGGCGCGAGGAGTATCGTCAATTTTTGAAGCGAACGAAATGGTGTAACGAGCATGTCTATAAACTATTTTTTGAGTGCCCACCGGTACGTTATGACCAGATTGAAGATTTTCTAATAGATTTGCGGAGAACTGTTTACGGTTCGGATTACTCACCGAACGAATATGCGTCGCTGCTTAGCCAAAGAACTGTAAAAGCAGATATTACCGATCCGAAATGCGATTCCAAGGATATACTGACTACCTATGGCAATTATTACAATCGTCTTGAAGAACTTAACAAGGATGGCAAATTGTATCAGGGACCGCCACCAAAGGATATGACCATCGAGATTTTTGCTCAAAATATGCGCAAGCTCTTTCGCAAATATGGACTAAGTACATATTATGAGGACATATGCCTTCCTGCATTGGTAGCTGCTAAGGACGGTAAAATGCCAACTGGACCTATTGACCGCTACACATTGCGTAAATATTAAAGGAATGTTGATGAGTTTATTTTCAACTTACACGTGTTGCCATTCATGAAAGAGTGGAAGAATACGATTGGAACGAGTAACAGGCACAAAAATCATTGCGTATCTCAAATAAACAGTTGTGTCCTGCAAATATGAATTCTTTGTTAATCCCAGAAATATTTACATATAGTGTTTTATGTCACTCACATTTGGCTTGATAAAGCTATAGTCGCTGAGAAAGTTTAGTACATTAAATACCAAATTGTTGCGCGTGCATTCCTCTGGAGCATAACAGCGATTTACTTCGTTACAATTGTTGTCTAGCTTTAGTAAATGATAATATTCATAGCAACTGAACAGCAGTGAGTGCAGTAATGAAACATCGTCTGCATTCAGATCAAAGCATGAACTCTTATTGGCCAGCAGTGTGGCATAGTTGGGAAGTGACCAAGGCCGGCAACAATTGGTTTCAGGCTCACAGAATGCCTGGTAACTAGGCGCAGCACTGATTTGCTCTTGTAGCTGGCACATAGCCAACATGCCATTAAGATCAAATAATGAGTCTGTAGCATTCGGACCAATGCGCTTCACCACAAAATGTGAGTATGCCTTGTGCGGTGAGGAATCACAAAAGAAGCCTTCAATGGGCTGGCGAACTCTTGAACTAGACCAACCGTCGTAGGGTAAGGAGGCCTGTTTTAGCATGCGCCAAGTGCTTTTCTTAGTTTGAACGCGCTCACGGTGTTCATCCTCATCGACGAAAGTAGTATTATGGCCATATTCGATCGGCTCACTCTGTCTGGTTGGCTCCAGCACGGAGGGGATACTATCATTAGTCACCTCAAAATCCCGGAACACCCCACTGTCGCCCATCCACTTATCGCTTAGCGGAGATTTTGTTGCTTTTAGTCGCTTGTTGATGATCATCATATTGTACGCCACACCGCTATTTTCGTTCTTATTCTGCTGTTCTTTGCGACGCTTATTGTTTTTATGCTTTCGACGTTGATCTTTGTGGCGCCTATGATTTGGATGTTGATGCCTGGGCACTCCTCTTGTCTTTTCATATTGAATTTTTTGCAGTAGATGTGAAGGATTCGAGAATAATATACCATTGCCGTCAATCTCCTGATTCAGATTATGCCAAGCAGTCAGTCGTTTTCCAATTTCGGTGCCTCGCGTCTCAAATCCCTGCAATACATGTTTTTGGTAAAAGTATGAGCATGCGTAGAAATTTTTTACTGGTCTATGATTGATACGAACCAATGCTGGGTCACTAAAATCTGGCAAATCGTTTAGTATGAATGCCACTATGATGCAGGCCACACAATAAACAGCAATCGAGACGACCACAAGATATGGTCGCCGTGCCAGTACATGATAATACCAGTTCATCTTTTCTGAGTCGAAGCACAGCATTCCGAAGCCAAGATAATGTCGAGTAAACACGACAATATATACAAGAATGATGCACTCAGAGTATATTCATTTTGTTTACTTTAGTGTCGGCCACATTTGCAACATGTGGGGTCTTAATTAACCTTGTGTCGCTATGACGGATGTCTTAAGGGTAGTCGTATTGTTGTTGTTTATGTTATAGATACTGTCTGGACCTGCCTTGAGAAATTTCAATATATCTGTGGGCTTAGGCAAGGTTTGGTTAAATGTAACTGTAATTGGGCTCTTAACATTTTATTAAATGCTCGCGAAATAAATCTCGGGCGGACAAATGAAACTGAAATTAATAAAAGAATGCGAATGCAAAAAATGCGCAAACACAAGAAAATGCACTAGAGATGTAATAAACATATATTGTCCTTTTAGAAATAGTATCGACTCTTGTTTGATTGTATTTATCGAGTTATCGATGTATTTAAGCGCCTATATAATGATCATTTTAACATACGTTCAAAATGCAAAGCACTTCTAGTCTACAATTTTGCTGTTCTTCTATTTAGTGCTCTTACGAACAGTAGTAAGTAATTCGCAAAGACAGCCTATTAATGACCATTAATGACCATATTAAATAATCACAAACTAAAGAGTTATGACATACATACAAAATTTCATTTATACTCACTTCTCTGATTAGAAGGCCCCTATTGGAATTGGATATTTGTTTAATTAGATTTGTTAGAATGTAAAACAGAATATTGGAGTTCTGTATACGTTTCCAATCAGACATTTCTCTTTTGCTCAGCCATTGAATGAACTAATTGAACTTATTCAACAACAAAAACCGATAGCACCAGCTCGATAAACGCGTTAGTTCTTTGTCACAGCTGATTGCATATTCTTAAGCAGAATAATAAACAACAAATAGATTTGTCAAAATGCGTCGACGAGTGGGTCTGGGAGCTATACAACAACAGAAGTTGGCTGCTGAAAAATATAAGGACAAAGGAGCCGATTTGCAAGAATCTCAATTGGAGCAAATGACCAAACAAATGGAAGTCTTTCGTATAAAACTGGAGGAGTTTGCCATGAAACACAAAGATGATATCCGCAAGAACTCGCAGTTTCGTAAACAATTTCAGGAAATGTGTGCGGCTATTGGTGTGGATCCCTTGGCTACTGGAAAAGGATTTTGGAGTGTGCTTGGCATGGGAGATTTTTATTACGAGCTAAGTGTGCAGGTTGTAGAAGTATGCCTTGCAGCCAATCACAAAACAGGGGGTCTGATGGAATTGGACGAACTACGTCGACGTCTCATAGCCGCACGTGGACAAAGTGTGCTCCATCAGGAAATAACTAAGGAAGATATACTGATGGCTGCAAAAAAGCTCACTATTTTTGGCAATGGGTATATGATGTGCCAGCAGTTGAATTTATTTATTAACAGTTTTTTTTTTTTTTAATTAACAGTTTCGTTGTACACAAGCTAGGAAAAGGAAAATATATTGTTCAATCCATTCCGGGTGAGCTAAGTATGGAGGAGACCAACATACTTAGTGCTGCATCTAATACAGAAACTGGTTGCATTACTCAAAGCAAACTTATTAAGGACTTGGGGTGAGGTTTTTTTGAGCAAAGAATTTACAAAGCTAAAATTTTTGTTTTTTTAGTTGGACCGAGTACCGTGCAAAACAAGCGCTAGAAAAAGTATTGGGTGAGGGCCTTTGCTGGATTGATAAACAATTCGAGGATGAGCCGAGCTATTGGTTTCCTAGTTTGTTTCCAGGACGTCACGCGCAAATGGTGGTTGCATAGCTTGTACACAGCTTTATTTAAAACTATTTAACATGTATATATACTGCTAGAAATTAAAAAATATATATATAAGCAAATTCATACTAAAAAACTATTATCTCCCATCTCCGACAGCGCCACTCAGCAAGTCGTTGTCGGCCTGTAGTTCATACTTTTGCTTTTCTATAACTCTCTCAAACCTCTTTGTTAAATCATTCAAAACTTGTTTATAATGTGATTTGAGTGCCTTGTATGAAAGCATATAATCATGTATTTGAGATTCGTAACCTTTTTTGCTGCAAATGAACGAAAATTAAACATTTTTTTAAATTTCTCAGCTTGTAATATTACTCACGACGCTAAATAATGTGTTTCATCGTTAAAGGCACACTGCTCAAGTTCAATTAGACGCTTGTTACAAGACTCCACTTGCATCTCCAACTTCTCGTTCTGTCGTAGGGCTTCTTTATATTTCAGACTTAAACGATTGTTTCGAGACTCAAACAGTTCTATTGCAGTCTTGTGCTCCACCATCTGAGTCTTCATCTATAATGAGTACGACATGAGTCTGTATGAGTTTCAGAACAAGTTTTATAAAAATATATTCGGCTGACCCTTTCACGTATCAAGGCAATTGTTTTGTCCTTCTCTGCTATCTTTGTCTTGAGCTGAGCAACTTCGTTGTCTACACGTTTAGCAGCTTCATCCATGATGGTGCCAATATTGAATGCCAGATTGCTGGCCTCTTCCTTGTATGATGCGGCACGTTTCTCCGCTTCATCCTTTTCACGGACAGCTGCCTCACTAATGGCGATCGCATCTTGAACTTTGCGCATTGCCTCGATCTCGCGCTTCTTACTTTCATCTAGTAAAGCACGGGTGTGCTGCAAGGATTTCTCGAATTCTCTGATCTGCTTTTGTAGACTTGTGACTTTAGCTTGATTGTCCTCCCGTGTGACTTCCCCACGATGACGGTCCTTTAACTGGGACTGCAAGTGGTCGATCTGCTCACCGCAGCGCTGCTTGTGCTCGTGCAGAGCTTTAATAAGTTTGGCCTGGGTACGAAGTTCCTCCTGTTGCGCAGCTAGCCTGCCCTCCAGTACCTTGATAGCTTTATTATACGATTGCACCATCTAAACTTAATAATTGATATTATAAACAGGAAAGCCAAAACCCGTTTTTACCAGAATCAGAATTCACCTGTTCATTATCTCCGTTAGAGAGCTGAGCACGACAACTGTCCAGTTCCGCCTCCATGTTCTTGATGGTGCGCTGTGAGCATTCCTGCAATGTGTTTAAACAATGTTTCTCCTTTTTGAGCGCCTCAATCTGATCCATGGCTTTGGTCAAGGCATTGTTCGTTATATCTAAACGCTCCTGTAGTTTCTCCGAGCTGCTGGACCACACAACTCGCTTATACTTGCCCAGTTCGCCAGTCAATTGACGATTCTCAAGTAATACGGCGCTAATGAGCGATCGCAGATCTGATTGCTCCACGCGAAAATTTTTCAAATCCTCGTTTGTTTCCTTGATAAGCCGCTCCACTCCCAAGGCTACCTCGCCGGCACCGCTGCTTGAAAAGAGTAGTGAAAAATTAAGATTTATCTGTGCCGACTGAATTTGATGTTCTCTTTATTTATGATATTTACTCCCACCTTGGAAACTCAAAGTGTGAAGCCTCCTGAGACATTCTAAGCTAACTACAATGTCTTCCTTCCAAGTTCCAACTACGAATTTTATATTAATTAAATGCTCCAAGCAGCTGTCTCTACTGTCACTATTTGACAGCTCGAAATGAGCCAAAGCCCTGTCGGAGTTGCCGTGGCAACGAAAAGTGGCAAGGCGCAAACATTAAAATTGGTCAAGAGTTTCTGTCCAATTTGAGTAATCAGTCATTGTGATGCCACTCTTTAACAAGAAATTCGAATCGAAGCCCATACCAGCGCGTGTGAGTCGCTGTAATATTGGCTTTCCGGTCGTGAACGAGGACATTGAGGATTTTCGTAACATCTCATTGAGTTTGGGCAACAAGAAGCTGCGTTTCGCCGATGGCATTTGGATGCATTCGGCGCATAAAGCAGATGTGGATGACATGCTACGCTTAAACAAGAAATTCCGAGCTCTAGAGGAGGAGAATAACATGTGTAACTTGAAAATAGAAGTTATGCTAGATTTGTTAGCTGAGCATGCCACAGAGCTCAATGACTTGAAGCCCAAGGAGAAGTGTAAGCCCAAGGAACAACTGGTACAAAGACCAATATAACAATTTACAATTTATTTTATAGAGCGAAAGCTGTCAGCTGTCAATTTGTAAGCATTAATTGTAATGAAAAGTGAAATAAAAAGTCGAAGCTGTTCAATAAGGTTCAATAAACTTGTACTGCCTGATTTTGGGTTTCCTTTGGATTATTTAAATACCCAATTGGGTTCGTTTTGTCTGGCTGATAGCTCTCTTATCACAGTCCATATTTGTTTGTATTATTGAATCAAGTAGCTAAGGGTCTATCTGTATAATGCTCTAATCATTTCACATGCTCGTCGAAACTTATCAATAGGTAAAGTATTATGCAGAGCACCAACTGCAGCGCCGTGGTCGCCGGGCTGGCTTTGTTGACTAGCCCATTGGGAATTAATTTGGATTTGTTGGGCTAACGTTCGATGAATGGACGGGCGGGCTGGTCAAATTGCTGGCATTATTGACGCCATTGGCAGCAATCTATAGACGACATCGACGGCATCGGGTTGCCGCTTGGCTGCCGCTTGACTGCCGCTTGGCTCCCGCTCTTCATTATGGCATTTGATAAGAAGCACGGAAAACGAGAGCCGACAGCCGACCGACTGCTAGCGGGGTTGATTGTCGAATCTACTATGGCGGTTAAAATAAACAACTGACTAGGGTGCGAGCCATTATACGATCGCATAAAATTTACATGCTCTATCTATACTCGTTCGTATTCTCTGTCTCCGTCGCCCTCACTCTATATCTATATGACTCGCTCTTATAACTAAATTTTGGAACGACGCAAGCGATAAAGCTTACGAACGGAGCCTAATCATTGCCTTCCCATACATGATATGTACATAGCTGAGGCGATATCGGTACACTATATCGACTACTGTATATTTACGCATTTATATTGATAGGCGATAAGCGAAACTGCTTATAAAACACATTTATTTAGTTGTTCCCCAGCAAATGGTAACGGCCACGACCACGACCACAAAGGCGACGGCGACAGCGACAACGGCGAGCCGTTCGCTTCCGAAGGGGGTAACACTTGTTCGATTCGTGTATTACAGTAGTTTGTTGATAGCCAGCCGATCGTACGGACGCACACAATACGATCCCAGAGATCGATGTGTCTACAATACCATACGAGTGCTATTTACCTAGTGAAATACAACAGCAATAACAATTGTTAGAGAGAGAGAAAGAGAAAGAAAAAAAAAAAACAAAAACAAAAATCGTTTCGAAAATAATACAAAAACACATGTACAATAAAATGTTTGCACGCTTTGGTTTTGGTTTTAGATGCGCGCCTTTTGCGAATATGGCAATGTTTTAGCTATGGGCCGCAATTGATTCCGTGATGGAGCATTAGGTAACACAAGACGCCTATATCAGCACAAATTGTCTGCTGCCTCGGCGCATTCATCAAATAAATAAATATATATGTATATAAT